CCTCTTATTTTTAGTTATTTTTATGCCTCTACTTTTATTGATGGGTTTGGATTCTGTTTGAGTTTCTGAATCAGAAGAAAAATGGGAACTTCTATCAGGTTCAGATTTTGAGCTCTCTGGAATGCCTAATTGTCTATTCTTCAACAAAGAAATATTTTGTCCCATTTTCTCCCTTTCTCCATTGTGCCTGGTGTTCCTCACATTTGTAAAATGATATTCCTTTTCCAGTTCAGTGTCTGCAGCAGAGTCACTTGTTACAGTATCTTGACTTGAACTTTTTTGTTCCTCAGAAGTAATGCTGCTGGAAGATTCATCAAAATGTTTTATTGTACTTTTTTTACATACAGATTTGATAGGATGTTGTCTTGAGCCATTACTATGACTGATCTTCTCTCTTCCTCTCTTCACATTTTCTTCTTCGGCATCTAAATATCTTGCTTTTAGTGCTTTACTAGATTGCCTAGTTGAGTAAGAACAAGTCTGATTATTTCTCCCCTTTATCTTACCTTCTTTCAGTTCTGCTCCACTGTCTGACAGTGAAGGTAAATCATCCAGTACTTTTCTAGCTGTAACAGAGGCACTGCGGAATGGAAGTGTTCTGTTCTTTTTTCTACAATATCCAACTTCTGAGCTTGAGAATTCTTCCTTTGCATCACTAATAAGTTTTATTTTGCTTGCAGCCACAGCAGCACTTCGACGTGGAATTTTCTTTCCATTAAGAGTTTTAATATTCATGTTATTCAACTCTGTGCAATTTTTGTAAGTATTTCTGTTCCTGAGTACTGTTGGACTTTGGTTCAGTAACTGTGAAGCTGATTCTGTAGAAAAAAGAATTTATAGATTAAATATTGTTATTTCTAAAACAAACAAGTTAAGACAAATGATATAATACTTTAATCATAATTAGTCCAAATTGTTATACATTTGGTTGTGTACTCTGCCTAACAGCTTTGCTTGGCCTCTCCCTTCACTGTGAAAACATGCTGTACTATTTTGAAAATTACAATCAAGTTCTCAAATTCAACTATCATTTAGATATTTTTGGTGCTAATCTTCTACGTCAGAGGTGTCAAACTCATGTCGTCAGGGTGGCATCACGTGATGTATCGGGACTTTTCCCCCCTTCACTAAATTGGGTGTGGCAAGCATGTGATGCATCTGGCCCGTGGCCCAGGAGTTTGACAGCCCTGTTCTAAGTGATTTTTGGAACTGCAGGTACTCATCAGTAATGTTAATATAAAAACATTTTCTTTAAATTTTCCTCAGTTTAGTTTGCAATTTTTTGCTCTTCCTATTTCATAGCTTTGTATATGAAAATCATATGTTCATTTTGTATTGTACAATCCTTAACTACTGTCTTTTTTGATAAGCTCTTACTTTTTTTGCAAATGTTCATTTATTTTAAATAAATACAAGTAGCCCGACTTAGAAGCACTCATTCATTAACTGTTTGAAATGCAATGATACTAAAAAAGTGGCTTATGACCGTTGTAGCACTCCCAAAATTCAGACACTTGACAACCAGCATGTATTTATGACTGTTGCAGTGTCCCAGGGTCATGTGATTACCTTTTGACAAGCAAAATCAATGAAAAGCCCGATTTACTTAATAATAGTTATGGTTATAGTAACATGGTTATGTTACTAACTGTGATGACCCAGAGTGTAACACAAATGTAACAAAATCCAAAATGTAAATAAATGTCCTTTAATGCCTCCAATTTGGCCCCACTGTTCAATAATACTCAGTTGGAGATAAAATGTACTCAAAAATAGTCTTCAAAAGAAAGCAATACAGTCCGAATTTAACGAGCAGATAGAGGTGAAATAAAAAACCAAACAAACTACAATGACGAAATCTCCACAATGGAACAAGAGAAGTATTTACCAAATACTTTTGTTTGTTGGAAGGACGCCAACCAAGATAACTTCAGACCAAAATAAAACACGCTTTGTTTCCAGCATTTGCCAGTACGTATGTCCAAACTCTTATTCAATTCTCACACCTGCAGCCCATGAAGAGGATCAAGGCCCTCTCCTCCCGAGGAGACCACGTCTCTCCCTTATCCTCTCCTCCCTGCGTGCTCTAGGATGGATAGGGGATGGGCCTGGGTCCTCCTCTGACTGCTCAGCCAGCCTCTGCCCTTCCCCAGCCTCCTCCACAACCTCCAGAGCCACATTCCACTCCCTGTTCCTCCTCTCCCTCAGAGTCAGTGTCCACCAGGGGCATGACACTAATTTAACCCGATTATAAAAATGGGACAAAGCTCACTTAAATAACTGTCTTGCTTAGCAATGGAAATTTTGGGCTCAATTTGTAATCATAAGTAGAGGAATTCCTGTAAATCCACTGGAGTTGGGCAGCCAACGAATTTAATTTTAACAAACACAAAAATTAAAAGAAGCACAAACCCCAACATACAAAAGCAGTAACATATTGAAGGGAAAGTAAAAATTTAAAGAATATCAACTATCTAAAGCAAAACAGTTACATATTAAACAATATTTAATAATTTCTAGACGAAAAAGGATATTGTAAAATATCAAGAAATCTGAACCCAAAACACTGCAGTCTTCTAATTTGTAGGTAAAATTGCGTTTTCAAAAAACAAATAAATTATGCATCCCTTGAATGCAATCCTTAATGTAAGGAATACTATATTTATTTCACATAAATATAATATACATTATAATTTATACATAACAAACATAACTTTGAATATTATCAAAGAAAAGATTTGAGTATTATAAAAATTACCTTTCTTAATGTCATCTATTTTTTCTTTCTTTTTCTTGGGTTGTGTTTTGACATCGCTGTAGTTGCTAGCATTGTAAGATTTGATTTCCAAATCAGAAGGACAACTGGAATCTACTCTGGCTTTAGATTTCGAGTTTTTTGAAGATTCCTTGCTATTTGACAGAGAATCTGTTCCATTTCCTTTATGCTGTATTTCAGATTTATTTTTTGATTTTCCTGAAGAGTCTGCAGTCTTCTGAAACATGTGCTCCTCTTTAATATTGTCACTATATTGGTCTAATTCAGAATCTGCCTCAGATTCAGAAGTGACTACAGTATTATGTGTAAATACAGGATGTTTATCAGGACTTCTATGCTTTGGGGGTTGGCTTTTTAGACTTTTGTCTAGTTTGGAATTTATACTTTTATCATATGCAGTTCTAAGCTTGTGCCTAAGGGCTTTTTTAATGTGCATTTTTTTTCTTTCAGCACCTTCAGAATATGAACTGTGTTCAGAGTCACTACCATATATCCTGGCAGCTGTAGAAGACTGAATACACTTTCTTCTACAGTACTGTTTCCTTTTTGCTTTACCAGACTGTTGGCTTCCATCTGCTGAGCTATCTAATTGCTTTCTATTTGCAGAAACAATACTGTCATAGTTCAGTTTTCTATTATTGTCACTGTAGGTTCTAGTAGTTTCTGAATTGGCAAAATCTTCCTCATCACTCACAAGACTTAAATTATTAACAGTCACAGCATCGCTTCTAAGGGGCAATTCTCCATAGATGTATTCTGATTTACAAGCTCCTATCTGACAATCGCTTTGGAATGGTCTTTTTCTGGTAGATTTGCGGAGCCCATTTGCTTTGGCAACAGAATCTATAAAGGCACACAAAATAATTACATTAAAATACACAATATAGAAGCATTAAAAACTCACAAAAACTGTTGAAATAAACAATTTATTAACAACTGTAGATAACCTAGTTGAAGATAATAAAGGTAAGTAGACATCCTTGAAGTTAAGGTAAAATTTACTCATCATTATTATGAACATCAGAAAGTTTCATGAACTGACTGCAAAAGCTAACAAGATGTATAATGACATTTCAATATGTCAGACCACTAAATACTAGATTTAGTAGACAATCAAGGTTGAGGTTTTGAGCACTGCAATTTGAAGAAATGCTCAGCGCAGTATCAAAACATGGCTGCCAATGAGATTCATAGGAAGAAAAACCATGGAAGCCTGAATAAAAGTAATGGATATAAGGGAGATGGAGCTTTCAGCTTACCCTGTCAATTCTATTTCTTGCAGAATTGGTTTTCTAACCAATTTTCCAGTCACGACCATAATCTGTTCCAGGACTTTGGTCTCAATCCAATTTGGTCATGACCGGAAGCAAGACTGATTGCGCATGCGCGGACCAAAAAAAATGGTGTGGCAGGGAAATCGCCGCGGCAGGGAAAATCGACATGACTGTTTGGTTGCCACCCGAAGATGTATTCACGACCAGATGCAAACATTTTCCGAAATTTTTGGTCTTCACCTAATTTCGTTGTGGTCAGAAGCGTTCGTGACCCAAAATTCCACTGTACTTAACATGTACCATGTCTATTGCTACTGAGCCCAATTTCTTAGCTTTATTTCTACACTGCTCAAAAAAATAAAGGGAACACTTAAACAACCCAATGTAACTCCAAGTCAATCACACTTCTGTGAAATCAAACTGTCCACTTAGGTAGCAACACTGATTGACAATCAATTTCACATGCTGTTGTGCAAATGGAATAGACAACAGGTGGAAAGCATAGGCAGTTAGCAAGACATCTCCAATAAAGGAGTGGTTCTGCAGGTGGTGACCACAGACCACTTCTCAGTTCCTATGCTTTCTGGCTGATGGTTTGGTCACTTTTGAATGCTGGTGGTGCTTTCACTCTAGTGGTAGTATGAGACAGAGTCTACAACCCACACAAGTGGCTCAAGTAGTGCAGCTCATCCAGGATGGCACATCAATACGAGCTGTGGTTTGTTGTGTCTGTCAGTGTAGTGTCCAGAGCATGGAGGCGCTACCAGGAGACAGGCCAGTACATCAGGAGATGTGGAGGAGGCCGTAGCAGGGCAACAACCCAGCATCAGGACTGCTACCTCCGCCTTTGTGCAAGGAGGGACAGGAAGAGCACTGCCAGAGCCCTGCAAAATAACCTCCAGCGGGCCACAAATGTGCATGTGGCTGCTCAAACAGTCAGAAACAGACTCCATGAGGGTGGTATGAGGGCCCGACGTCCACAGGTGGGGGTTGTGCAGGACGTTTGGCATTTGCCAGAGAACAGCAAGATTGGCAAATTCGCCACTGGCGCCCTGTGCTCTTCACAGATGAAAGCAGGTTCACACTGAGCACGTGACAGACGTGACAGGGTCTGGAGACACTGTGGAGAATGTTCTGCTGCCTGCAACATCCTCCAGCATGACCTGTTTGGCAGTGGGTCAGTAGTGGTGTGGGGTGGCATTTCTTTAGGGGGCTGCACAGTCCTCCATGTGCTTGCCAGAGGTATCCTGACTGCCATTAGGTACCAAGATGAGATCCTCAGACCCCTTGTGAGACCATATGCTGGTGCGGTTGGTCCTGGGTTCCTCCTAATGCACGACAATGCTAGACCTCATGTGGCTGGATGAGGTGTGTCAGCAGTTCCTGCAAGACGAAGGCATTGATGCTATGGACTGGCCTGCCCGTTCCCCAGACTTGAATCCAATTGAGCACATCTGGGATATCATGTCTCGCTCCATCCACCAACGCCACGTTGCACCACAGACTGTCCAGGAGTTGGGGGGATGCTTTAGTCCAGGTGTAGGAGGAGATCCCTCAGGAGACCATCCGCCACCTCATCAGGAACATGCCCAGGCGTTGTAGGGAGGTCATACAGGTACGTGGAGGCCACACACACTACTGAGCCTCATTTTGACTTGTTTTAAGGACATTACATCAAAGTTGGATCAGCCTGTAGTGTTTTTTTCCACTTTAATTTTGAGGGTAACTCCAAATCCAGACCTCCATGGGTTGCTAAATTTGATTTCCATTGATAATTTTTGTGTGATTTTGTTGTCAGCACATTCAACTATGTAATGAACAAAGTATTTAATAAGAATATTTCATTCATTCAGATCTAGGATGTCTTATTTTTGTGTTCCCTTTATTTTTTTGAGCAGTGTATATTCCAGTAACTTGCTCTCAGCTTAATCTCCTTGATTACTTACTGCGCTACACAGGATTACACCAACTTTCCCATTTGTGATGCTCAATACACATTTAATTTTCCTGCTACCTTCAAGCCTCCCTTCAAATTAGGCCGTGGCAAAGTCGATGTAACTCATGTAGAAAAAGAAGTAATTGAAGAGATTGGGCTGTAAGCACGTTACTGGAGTACAAAAGGATCATTCTCTTCCTTCCTTTTATGGGGTGAAAAAGTGAGGGATAAAGTCATAATTAGGCTAACCCTAACCCTGCATCAATAACTTCGACTGCTTATCTTTTTTAAAAAAGAATATGTACCTCTCAAACAATATATTACAAGTATTTGTTTGATGTGACTAAGGCTGTATTACTAAGATGAATTAAGATGGATAAATTGCACATAAATCAGCAGATCCAGAATGACACTAAAAGAAAAATATGGAGCATGCATAACATTGCACCCTTTAAATACATCACCTTTTCTGATGCCTTTCCTTTCCTGACTTTTTCTTGAGTGGCTGCTATCAGTTCCAGATTCTAAATTAGATGAGTCATTTTGGCCAAGTTTTGTAGTTTCAGAAAAGATTCTGATCTTTGAAGAAGGGGTCTCATCATCCCTTCCTGACTGCACTCCTTCTGAATCACTCAATATTTTAGCTTTCCTGAAGCGAAATGATGCCCTTGTAAAAGTATGTCTTGGTAAAACTTTATATTCTTGCTCGGAATCTGTCTCAGAGCTGCTGTTGGCATTCATTTTGTATGAAGATGACAACCGATGAACTGTTTTCTGAATGCTCTCATCATCTGATATATGGTTTTTGGAGTCATCTTCTGAACATTTTGGGCTGTGTTTCATTTTGGGAGATACATGGCAAGCAGTTCTCAATGGTTTTTTACAATCTTTAACAGGGTACCTTTTTGGTGTTTTTTTCATCCCACTCTCAGAATTTGAATTACCACTTTCAGATCCACTACTGTGCCCTTTTTTAACAGTAAAATATTCAGTTTTAGAAACTTTTTTTCTGTCAGAATGTTCTTCCAATTCTTTGTCACTTTCAGAATGCATGGAACTATCCTCTTCAGAATCTTTTAACAGTAACTTTCTGGCTGCAGCAGAAGCATTGCGATGAGGTAGTTTTCTGTTTTTGCTTCTGGTACCACCACTTTCTGAGCTGAAGAATTCTTCTTCCACATCACTCATCATTCTTAGTTTATTAGCTGCCACAGTAGCACTTCTGCGTGGTATTTTTCTATATCTACCAAATCTATTGCTCAAAGTTTCACAATGCTCATTTGAATTATCAGTTTTTCTTTCCCATATTCTTTTCCTTGTAGTCCTTTGGCTATCTGCATTCTCTTGTGAAGCTGGACCTATAAATGAATGAACACACACACACACATATACGTACTTCTAATAAACATTCTAAAAAATAATTTTGTCTATTACTAAACTCTTAAGTTATGCAAAGCATTGAGGTTCTGGCCTTTTTAAAGTAAATATAGGTATATGTTTTTTCATCTTTTATAAGCCATTTGGAGGAGTATTTTCCACAGTTACATTTTACTGACTGAATATATGCAGATAAAGATTTCAAATTTTTAAAATTATTTAAATACATAAAGGATGAGTGGGCTAAGAGAAAAAAAGAGACTGAGAAAGTTGTCCTTAGAGGCAGTTGATGAAATCCCCCAAAGAGGTGAAAAGCTTTAAAGACTAAAGGGTAAAATGAATAAAATGCATTGATATGGTGAAAGCAAGCATGGGTTGCAAAGCTACCATGTTTCCCCGAAAATAAGACAGGACCTTATTTTCTTTTGGGTCCCAAAATAAGCACTAGGGCTTATTTGCAGGGGTGTCTCCCCTTCCCCCAATGTACTGAAGGCCCACTTCCTTTTGCTTGCTTGCGGCGGGGCAGGACGCTATGTGGGATGCCAGTGCTGCCATCATGAGACCGGGGGGATGGATTGCCCCATGCACCCTGCATTAGCTTATCTCAGGGCTCCCCAGTCAGGCCATTCACGCCCTGACACCTGCCTCGTCTTGCAGTGCCACGTGGCTCCAGCAGCCCATTCCCCCGCTCCGTGTGGCTGCCGGCCCAATTCTGCTTGTTTGTGGCTGCAACAGAGCAGGAGGCCAAGCCACACACCGGTGCCATGGCCATGAGGCGAGGCAGGTATCGGGCGTGGGCCCTGAAGTAAACTGGTATGGGGTGCGTGGGGCAGCTCTACTCCCCCTGCCTCGCCTTGTGGCAGCCAGCTGTGCAGACTCTTTTTTAAAAATAAATTTTATTCAAAATTTAAAAAATAGAAACAAGTTCTCACATATTACAGCAATAGCTGTGCAGACTCTTAAGTAGGGCTTATTTTGGGATGTATGGCTTATATTAGGCACACTCGTAAAAACATGCTAGGGCTTATTTTTGGGATAGGTCTTATTTTCAGGGAAACAAGGTAGAACTTATTATTACTTATAAAGGAATAGTGTGATAAGCATGTGTGCATGTTTTATTAATAGACCTCTATTTAATTTTCAGGTGCTAATTGAAAATAATTACCTTATTAACTAACTGTCTTAAGTCCAATTTACCATCAGGAATTTTCCTTTAATAATACATATCTCACATTACATGGGCATCAAATAATGGGTGGTGCCATTACAACACATGGTGCCATTGCATGGGCATCAAAATGCCTTTATGCCCACAAATACAAGATTTCATTAAGATGTACTTTTATGTAATTATCCCATTTTATCCTAGATGGGGCATTTTGAAAAAAAAAAGATATACAACAATATTTCAGAGGCTTTTGGAACAGGAATTATGGAATTCCATTATTCTTGGGCTTTTTCCATTATTTAATGCAATCTCTTAACATTTTTGACATTCTCTTAGTAAACCACCTCCCATTTGGGCTACTATAATATGTTCTACCTAAGGCTGCCCCTGAAAATCACTCAGAAGCTGCAACTGGTCCAGAATGCAGCACTACTACTACTGCAACCACTTCAAACCCTGTCCCTACTAACCATCAGAAGTGTCCTGGAAACCTGCTTTCCCCCCCATGCATTGTGCTAGAGTATTGGATGAGCCCATCCAAATGGAAAAAATGGAATATGTTGTGAATGGCATTTATTTTGTTTTTGTTGATGATTGTTTTTTACTCTTTAATAATTTCTAAGCTGCCAAGATTCATTTTTATGCATTGGTAGCCATATAATTCAAATGAATAAAATCTTGTAACAATGTTTTCATGTTGTGTTTATTATATTTTTTAACAATTTTGATTGTCATTAAGTTGCTCAGGACTTAGAGACATGGCATATATTTTAATATATAAATATATACTTACCTATTTGTTTTTGCTGATATACTTTACTTCTAGTAATCCTGAAGATACTTTGTTTTTCGCCAGAAGTTCCATTATATAGCACTGGAGATAACAGAGCTGTAGAACTCTCTTTGCTCTCCTCTGAACTACTCAAAGATGAAGCAGTTGATGAATGTTCTAACTCACTTTCTGGAATAATTAAATGATATAAAGCTAATCAGAATTTTAAATATTTATCTCATAACATAATAACAAGAAGTTGCAGACAGTCTGCATAATTTTGTATAGCTAGATCTTAATGTATTATGTCAACAGAATAGCCACCAGTACTTTATTATGTGCTGTATAAAGTTTTGGGAGCTCACCAGAAAAGGTTTAAAACAATATAGAATAAGAACAAAAAATATATCAAATACTGCCACAACAAAATCCAACTGTTTAAGAACAATTGCTACATAAATGAGCTTTGTAAAATCTAATGTTAACATCCCTCAAACTTCAATAATCAATGTTAACTATAGATTTAAAAGATTCTTAAGTTAACTAGATCCCATTTTAGAAACACTTGGAACTTATTTGCTTTTTAATTACTTACATATGAAACACAGGGGTGATAAATTAGGACTCAAAATAGAAGTATTGCAATGTAGGAGACTTCCAGTTGATGTTGCAGCATGATCGGCACAGGGGAGTGGTCTCCATATCCCCATGCCGAATCCTCTTCGTCAGAAGTGCCCCTGGGTGCTAAAGTCACTCTGTAGGGGTGACTGATAAGGAGGGGCACCCTGCTGGTTGTGGAGAGCAGCGGCTCTCCGGCTAGACCCAGGATTTCTTCCCTCTTTACTGAAGATGGAGGCGAGGCGACCAACATGGCCGCCGCAAAGCTGGGGCAGCTGAAGCAACTTAAGAATGTGCTGGAGCAGTGAGAGTGGACAGTGATTGGAACTGGATGAGGTGATTTTACTTTTGTCAAAAATTTGCCCAAAAGAAATTTAATCCATGAAAGTGACTCTGGAATATTTTTTAAGCAGCAATCAAAGAGGATTAAAGGAAAATTATACCCTATAAAACTTTAGCACAAAGGAAAATTGGATGTATAAATATTATTGATAGGACTTTGAAAAGGCACTCCAAAGTGCTGGAATCCTGACTGTTTATTGGATATTTTGCTTGAATTAATGAGGAAGAAACTTAAACTGGATTTTTAATGTTAATTTTTAAAAGTGAACTTTTAATGTGGATTTTTAAGTGGGATGTGTCACCTGCTGGTGAATGGATTTGTATTAAGCCATACTCCAAAAAGGAAATGACCTTGGACAATTTCTAAGAGAGGAGATAACATCTGGAGGTCTGCTTGGTTTCATTATTTACTGTTCCATACTTATCTATTCTATGGTGACTAGATGCAAACCTTGGAAAACCTGGAGGATAAATAATGAAATGACTTTTGAATACTGGAACTATTTGATAAACTAAAAAGTGGATTTAAAGAACTACTTTGAAACTTCCCCAGACTATATAAATAAAACCTATTGATCAATTGTGGGATACAAGGAATTCTAATTATGGCATCTCCTGATGAACAATATTAAGTTTAGTTTAGTTTATTGTCATTGCACCTCATACAATGAAATTAAATACCATCTTCAGTGTTCAAAAAAATATGACTATGAAAATAAACACAAACACACATTCTTCACATTCTATACAATGAATTGAAAACCCCTGATATTGCATTAATATTGCATTATACAGTAGAATTCATTAGAGTTCCTTCCCTGGGATAGAAGCTGTTTTTCAGCCTATTTGTCCTTATCTTTATTATCCTGTACCGTATGCCAAATGGCAATAGTTCAAAAAAAGGGTGCCCAGGATGAGATGGATCTTTGAGAATGTTTTGAACTTTCTTAAGGCAGCGAGAGCTACAAAGCTCTTCCAAAGAGGGGAGAGGGCAACCAATGATCTGGGCAATGACATTAACCCTCTGCTTTCCTATCTGCCACTGTGCAATTGGCAAACCATACAGAGGTGCAGTAAGTTAAGATACTCGCTATAATGCAGTGGTAGAAACCAGCAGTTTTTCATTCAGTTATTGTTTTCTGAGAAGTCTCAAGTAGTATAATTTCTGCTGGGCCTTTTGACCAGTGCTGCACCATGTGAGCATCCCAAGTCAGGTCCTCTTTTATGGTAACACCCAGAAACTTAAAACTGGCCACTTGCTCCACTCGTTCTCCAATGATAAGCAAGGGCTGGATGTCTGATCTGTTCCTTCTATAGTCCACTAAGACTACGTAATCTGCTGGCTTTGGGAAGTCAAAAAGAATAGACCCTGGAGCAGTGACAGATTATTGACATACTACTTGGATTTTTTAAAATAAGGCAAGATGGCTCATCAGGAAGAATTGGAGACACAAAAAGAAATTGTGAGACTATTACAAAATATTTATGATACGATGATGGGGGGGAAAAAGAAGTACTGCAATTTAAAACATAGGACATGTATATCAACTTTAGCAGAATAAAAATATGTTGATAAAGTTGTAATATTTTAAAAATAAAATTATAAGTCTTAAAAACACCAAACATTAAACCCCAATAGAAGTGACCATTTTTCCTACATTTTGTTAACAATTGGTAGATTTGACGATTTGGAATATTGGCTTATTTTCCCGTAATTTAAAGATAATAGGATTCTAAATAAATGCAAAATATTAAATGTTATGGGAAGATAATAATAACATTGGAAAATGAGAAATGCTTCCATGATTATTTGACATGTGATTACTTTACAAAAGATTGCTAGGAGGATATGCCAAGAGATCCTGGAAGTTTCATCTTTATCTCTCTAAAATCAGGGATAATTATTCACATAGATAATTATTCACAAGAAGATATTATGACTTCTGGAGAAGTTATGGCATCCAGGTTATGAAAGGACTATGATAGGTTACATGTCCCTACAAATGAGATTGAAAGATCATGCCTATGTTCTGGATAATAGCTCCTTGTAAGGAGTCTACAGTAACTGAGTTTTTATGGTTGATTGTGAGTTGAGTGGCTTGGGAGCCAAATTATTACTATCATGCTCAAAATCATTGGCCAGCTTTGATGGACTTGCAAAACCCAACTTTTGGATCTAATAAATTTACAACTTAGCAGAGATATTGTGACCAGCAGGAAAAAAAAATCAAGATATTCATCGAGTCACCTTTTTTGAATTAGGAAGAAAAAAACCGTATCTTGAAGATTTTAATTTAAAAGAAAAGACTTAATAGGTCTATATTTAAGAAATTTTAAAAACAGTTAAGGGAACAATTATTTTAGAAGACTTGGTTTTTTTCCCTTTCACAAAAGTACTTTTGAAAATAAGTAACGCTAACTAGAAAATCATGGGATCGTTGTTCATTATTAAGTTGTTAAGATATATTTTACAAAATAACATGTTTTGTTACAAATCTTTAAGCTTGTAATTAAAGCACTTTTTAAAAAGGATTGAAGAAAATATCTGATGATGCCCTGATCTGTAAACTCTCTTTCCTTCTCCTATTTTTGATGCTTTTCTTGTGGTCGCCATTGTAATATTTATGGCCCAAAGTGAAAACATGTAATTACCAGAATGAAAGTAAAACGCCAAAGGATTCAATGTTCTAATGGTTCTTCTCCTGTGGCCCCATGACCGTGTTTTACAATGATTTTGTAGAAAACCAACATCTACCTCCAGTTTTTGGCAGAATTGTGCCCATAGTGAACAATTAGTTCACTTAACAACCATGGCACTTGCTTAGCTCTCTCAAAAAAATGTCATAAAATCATGGGAGGAATGTTCTGAAGGACAGATATTCCCAAAGACTGATGGTCAAAACTAAATCTGAATTGAGTTATATTTGTTTAAAAACTGGACACTGTTACTAGGTTAACTGGTACTTCATGACCAGTATGATTTCAAAAAGATAACTTAAAAGCAGAAAGAACTTTGAAAACAAGGGATGCTTTAAAGAATTTAGAATGACATGGCAGTGCTGCCCCCGCTTGCAAAAACATTTGTAGGGACGTCTAACCCACCATAGTCCTTTCATGTCCTTGGCTATCAATGAGGTCACCCGGAGACTCTTCCCCATGTTGTTGGAGTCCTTGGTGCTGAGCTTGGTTGTTTTCTTGCCGATGTTTCATTACCAAATCAATAACGTCACTTTTAAAAATTGTAAATTCATAAAGAATTTTTTTTCTCAGTATCAATATTTTTAAAAGAAAAAACTCTTTGAAAGAGTCTAACCAATTCCTTACTCTCATCATAAAGCCAAGCAGAGAAGAAAGCAATATTAATAAAAACTGAGGAGAGGGGTCTTAAAGCAAGTTCATTTACCTGTTGATAATGTACAACTCTGTGCTACTGCTGTGTTTCTGGTCCGTGTATTTGATCCAAAATACGATGCAGAGGTAGAGTCAGAAGATATTCCAGCAATACTACGAGTACAACTAGTAGTATACACTTTATGGCTTGTGACACAGAATTTTTTGCCTGATGTATTTTGATTAGAAGAGTTTTCTGTCTCAGAATGAATTTCTGTTTGAGATTTACACTGCTTCTGTTTTGCGTTTCTTAACATACAGAATGAAAACAATATGTATTTGATTAATGTAATTTATTTTCTAAATGCCTTGGTATTTAATTATGCTGTACTGGTTAAGACTTTGGGCGAAGAATGGGGGTACCCAAGCATTATTTATTTATTTATATCCCACTTTCATTATTTTTATAAATAATTCAAGGTTGCAAACATACCTAATACTCCTTCTCCTCCTATTTTCCCGCACAACAACAGCCCTGTTAGGTGGGTTGAGTTGGGAGAGGGTGACTGGCCCAAAGTCACCCAGCTGGTTTTCATGCCTAAGGCGGGACTGGAATTCATAGTCCTCCTGGATTCAGGACTGGTGCCTTAACCATTTGACCAAACTGACTCTACATTCTCACTCATCTATGGAACTTACTAGGTGATTTTGAGCCATTCATGATCTCTATGACACACCAACAATAAAGGAGGAGGAGGAAAAAATAGATGAGGAAGTGCTATGTATGTTGTCTTACACTTTGGACAACAGGTAAGATTCCTTGTAATAAATAAAACACTCAATGAAAGATGTAATTACTTTATTATATATTAATAAATATTAAAATCATATTAAAATGATGCAACATAATACACAATATTCCTAAAAGAAGTATTCATTGTTTGTAATTTAAACTTTAGAATTTAAAGACTAACAAATAGAAAAGGAAAATTAACTAATAATTAAGGAACTTGTTTGAGGTATATTACAGTTTACTAAAATTTCTGTGAGGAAAAAATGGTAAAGCAGCAGCCCAGTTTAATTTTAGCTAATTTTGAAATGGGAAGGTTGGACTCAATTATTTTAGAGGGCCTTTCCATCAAATGGTCCTTTCCATTTGATGCTTATATTCACCATGGAAAACAAAAAATAGTAACAATTAACAAACATGGAGGTAAGCAACGATCACAACCAGGTATCTGTTTAATTATGTTTTTGTTATGACTGGTTTTCCTTCAATATCCATTCCTGTATCCATAGAAGTATTATTAATGTATCCATGGATATAATTTTATCACAAAATATTTGTGCAGCAGAAAATAGTTTATGATAAAGTACATTTAAAAAAATAGAACAAAACTAAAGGAAAGAGAGAATTTACTCCAGTCAGTAATTGGGGTTAATAAATACGGACCAAATCATCTAGTACCAATATGATTCTAAAAGTAATATAGATTGAAAAATTTACCTCGATATATTGGCAGAGTATTGTACAGATTTATTCAGACTTTGCAACTTCCTGCTGGATCTCTCACTTCTCCATATTCTTTCATTGTGCTTTTGCCCAGTTTTAAAGTCAGAGATAATTCTGTTAATTTTTTCCTCAAATAGTGCAGATAATCTCAGTGTCATACTATATATCTAGATTAGGAAATGCAGACTGAATTAATATACTATGGAGGTTATGCAACTCATAAATAATTTATTTTTAAAAGTATGAACTAACACACTACTCTTTTTCAGTTAAACAGTAAGAAATCAAAGAAAGGAGTAACAAAACAGTAAACAAAAAATTAAATGTATAAGAAAAATAATGAAATTATTTTCACTTTTATTTTTAATTCCATTTTTATTTCTCTATATCTAATTTGACAATTTATTTCCAAACTGCTTGGTTTATTTCTACCACATTAATTAACTTAACTGTTCTCTTTGACTACATTCATACTAAAATATGAAGTATTTTATCTTTCTCAAAAAATTTTGCAGCGGTAATTATCTTTTAAACTTCTTTTCTTCATTCATAATCTTTTTCACTTTTACTTTCCACCAAGCATCCATTTTATATTCTGTATTAGCATAACTTCATAGATTTCTGTAGAATGTAATTACAATTGTTTTTACTATGTTACAATCAATTCCATATATCCTCTTTCCTTGCTATTCATTCTGTTGAAATAGTTATTTTCTAATACCTTTTATATGACCTATTTAATCACAGGACATTTTTAGAGGAAGTATGCATGTGATAGCACTGGTTACCAAACTGAGCACATTACCATATATACTCACACATAAGTCCATGCATATATTTTAAAATATATTTTAAAACCAACCATTGATTTTTTATCCAAATTACCATTACCAATGTTCCATCTTTAAGAAGCTGACCTACTGTATTACTGTATATTTTATTATTCAGAAGTGTCTTATCTGTTGGTAATACGTTTTTAATTGTATTTTGGTTAAAAAAATCAAGGTTGGCTTAGCCTTAGCCACAGATAAACCTATTCACAAGTATATATGGTATATGGATACTTTAAAAAGTAGTACTGTATACACTCACAGATAAGCTGAACCCAAGACTTATCCAAGACACTTTAACTAAAACACATTTAGCCACATTGTTGAAAGAAGCTACTTACACATTCAGAGACTGTATAAAGTCTTGTGGCTTATTCTCCTTTAAACCAAATATGTTTTTAAAGTAAAATTATTTATCAATTGTTCCTTAAGTTCTCATAACAGAGTTTTGATTGATTTCATACTTTCCATGATCTTCTAAAATGACTTTCATTTCCTATCCCTCTAATCTTTGCCTAACTGCTAATGATATTTATTTGGTTATTGCAGGAAATAGTATAAAAATATTACCTTAGACCTTTTGCTTGGGGTATATGCTTTAGCGTTGCTAAATATTAGTTTGACATCTTTCCACAGTTCCATTGGAGTATCATAGTTTTCAGCTTCTAATGTTTCCTTTACTGTGGCTAAGTCCATTGGTGTGTCTATAATTTCTCTGTAGTCCTAAATAAAGATAACCAAATGGCTCCATTATTAAAGGGCTGGGGTGGAGTTTCTCATGTACAGGTGAAAGCCTGTAGACAGACAAGACAGACACAGAGAGGAAGTGGGCACACTAAGTAACTTCAATACACTTTTTTAAGGACTAAAAACAAGCACAACTAATAGTCATAGGAGTATGCAGCTTGGAATGAAGTCTAATACGGAAATTAGTATGTCTATTATCTCAAATAGCATTTGAAGAACTGTATTGTATTGTATTGTATTGTATTATATTATTATATTATATTATATTAATTATATTATATTATATTATATTATATTATATTATTATTAATTATATTATTATATGATATATATTTTATATAACCAATCATTGTTTATTACACTCTAAAATCCTAGTGGAATTTGCTAATCCTAGTGGAATTTGCCAGTATAATTTATTTTTCTTATTTATATTTTTACCATTCCTTTGCAAGACTATTTAACAAGTCTCATGGTAATGAAACACATTCCCTTAGCCCACAAATATCCAAATTTCAAAAGTGAAATTCTCCTCTTAACTGTGGTGATAAACAGGTGACAAAAACTACAGCAGTTTCTTTCTGAAGACTGAAAAGGCAGAATAGAAAATGGGAAAAAGAAGGAAGACAGAGCTAGGGAAAGCATCTTGGATATATCTGCAGAAAAAATAGCAAGCATTTTAATTTGAGATCATTTAGAATATTGTTTATTAAAATAGCTTTAGTATAGTATAGTATAGTACAGTACAGTATAATAATAATATAATGTAATATACTGTACTGTACTGTACTCAAGATTCTTCACAAAAATCTCCCAACCAAGGCTTGTTTCATCTCCAATGGTCTTCCACCAAAGTGTTAAAGTTTTCCTTCTCCAGAACAGTTTGGGAAGATTCATGCTTCAGACATTACATATTTTTTAACTTGCTGGATACGGTAAATTAAATTCTTTTCAGCAAGTTTTATTCTGATGCTGATAATATTTGTTTTATTAAGATTGTACTCTGTGACTCAGAATCAAACATGGAATGCAAATGCTTAGTGTGTCCATTTCCATGACAAGCTTTGAAGCTCACAATATGGAAAAAGTAATATTGCTACATGGCAAAAGTGTGTTCCTTTTGTTTACACTTTCTGTGCTGAGGAAATACTAAATTCAAGGTTTAGCCACTCTATATAATAGGGAGTGACTTGTCATCAAAACAACTGATTTTGGGACAGTGGCAAAATCATGACAGATTTCAGAAGAGTTATGTATTGTTTTATGGCTGTGCTGTGAACCATATTCAAGAGAGACTCTGCACATCATCATGGAATTGTAGGCATTATGTTTACTTCTCTTAGGTGTACTATGATTGAACAAAGGTGTCTTCAGACATCCACCAGAGATTTCTAACTGAAGCAGACTTGTTTTTGTTCTTGTTTTGAATAAAGTACAATTGATAAGAGAAGACATTGAAATATGGCATGTTTTATGGTAGTGTAATTGATCAAAGAATAATTACTTACAGGGTACTGCTCCAGATCAACAGGCTGCCTAAAGGGTTCTGAATCTTCACACTGGAAAATTAGATTAACAAGTTCCATACATTGTTTCTTCCATCTGTTTTCATCGTAGCGTGATTTTGTAGTGTTTTTTCCCTTCAAGGAATGTCTCTTTTTTTAAAAAAAGTAAAATACCCATAAATATTTGATGACTTTTAAAAATGCAATTACAACAAATGAATTGCATTCAGCTACTTAAAAATACAAAATTCCTACTCATTCATA